GGACAATGTCGTATACAGCGCGCCCTCCCAGCTTCCCGGATTTAAAAGAGACAAACGTGTTGGTCTGCGTATTTGGCAACCCGGCCCCGTAAGTCACAACGCCCCAGTTGGGAAATGTGTGCATTTTTGCAGTACCATATTCAGTAGGGGGCTGCGGTGTTAGCTGGGGGTCATACCAAATGTACTCAGTGTGAAGAGTACTCCATCGCTGGGCTGTGGAGGGGACCATGGGTCCATCTTTAGGCCGGTGCTTTCGAATCTGCTGAGCTAGCCAGTTCCCCGCTCCGTTCTTTAAGATGAACTTATCTAAAAAAACCAACTGGCTTTCTGGACCGTAAAACCAATTATAATTAGAATCTGCTATACCTACAGTTCTCTGGAAGCCTGGCAAAAGGGTGGCGTAATAGAACCAAAAGTGCATCTTTAACCAGTTATTATCCAAGTTGTTGATATTAAAATGGCGCTGGGCAAGAAAAACGTACTGTGTGACTGACTTAGACGTGTAGCTGCCATAGGCCACCCCTTCATCCAGAGACCCATCGACAACATGATTTAATAGGAACATTGTCTTCTCCATTACGTCCACTACAATTTGCTTCCAGATGTTTGCTTTGGATCCTTTATCTGCCCCAGTTACCAGGGCCCCAGTGAGTAACGCTATCATATTAGTAGCTTGGTGGTTATGAAGAAGTTGTTTGCCCCATGAGCGGACCTTAGAATACTCATACATTTCCTCAGTTATAACCCATATTTTTTCCAAGTATTTTTGTCTCCGATGATTATCTAGTAAGGTATATAAAAAGTCAAAGGCAGTGGCAAAGCCCGTTAAAGAATGGCCAATTGGAACTTCATCCCCTGGTGCATTCTCTACCAGCCAGTCTTTGTAGCCAACCATTCTGTCCATATATTCCAAGGCAAATTCAAAGGCAACTTTGTCTTCTGGGCATAATAAACAGTACAGTGCTAATGGAGGCAGATTGTTGCCATAAATTTCATTCCACTTGGCAGCAAAATCAGCATGCTTGGGTGGAGGTAGGTAGTAAGTGGGATTGGACAGCATCGCTGTCACTGCACTTCTGATCGCTCTAAAGAGATGCAAATGGCTTGTACGAGCTTTCTGTCTCATTGCCTGGATTTCTCCAGCATCAAAATAAAGACTGGGATGAAGCACACTTTTCTTCAGCTTTTGGCTGGGTCTCAAATCGTGCACTCTCTGCGTCTTAAACTCATCTATCTCATTTGCAAAAACTGCCCACTCAGAGTAATTGCTCACAGATTCCTCAAGAGTAGACAGACCAAACATCACTAATGCTAAAAGTAAGACAGGTCCTGTAAACATCAACGCCATGATCCATGAGGGAGTTCTTTCTTAGGCATACATGTCAAACATAGTGCCCAACGTGTCTCCCATCTGGTGAGCAAAAGAACCCCCTAACGCTTAAGGCCTCGATAAAACAAAGTGTGTAACCGTGTGTGCTGTGAAATCCAGCTGACAGCCGGTGCATTCACAGCAAGTGCAGTTGCCGAAGAGAGAAGGAACTTCGATCAGAGAGATCTGTGCCTTGAAACAGTTTGGCTTCAAATGGAATTTCAAAGAATGTTTAAAAACCTCTACTTTTGCCAAAACGTATAGAGAACTCGAATATGACAGTCAAATAAACGATGAATTCAGCAACTGCTTCCTTTACATAATGTTTTTCGTCTGGAAACGTACATTGTCAAAACAGAGGAGGACAAGGCTCTGTCCGGGGCAAATGCAGCGGTTCCAAGGCTGAGCGAGCGCCCCGGGGGCTGGGACCTGGGCAGGTGCAGGGCAGGCTGGGCAGGTGCAGGGCAGGTGCAGGAAGTCCTGGAGTCTCGGCGCGGACTCAGGTGCTGCTGCTCTCAACTCGCTGGGAATGTTCTCCCGTTTTCTCGGCAGGAGAGCGCGCTCCAG